GCTGCCGCCTTCTGGCTCAGCTTACTTAAGAGCACGTGGTTACTTAGTGGAAAAATGAAGACTACATCTTGGACTCCTGCCTACAAGAAAAACAGTCTCTTTTAGCTTTGTGACCACTTTGCACTATTTCCCTGTCTTCCTTTCTTTCAACGTCATAGTTACCAGAATTGTTGTATGCATCCTATCTTCATTTCTGTAGAACTTGTTAACTCTTATCTCCTTCTTTTCCTACTACATGTCTGAAATTTCTTCTCAAAAGTATTTGATGACCTAAATAAATACTCTCTGTCCTTTTCTTAGTTTTCATACCTTGTATTTTGGTAGAACATTTGGCTCTGTTAACCCTCCCACTTTCTTGAAACTCCTGCCTTCTATGCTGTTCACATCTCCTTGGCTCTCTTTTTATCCTCTTCAGCTGTTTCTGTCTCTCTCAGGCCCTCTTCCCAATCTCTGAAGAGTAAGAGTCCTCCTAAACTCTGCCTGAACCCTCTTTCATCGTCCTTTCTTACCTTGCATTGCCATGTGCTCACTCTGCCTCTAATAGCGGCCTGCATATGACTTCAAGCATGTTTCCAAGCCTGACCTCCTGACCTCATTGTCCAGCTGCCTGCTTTGCAGGCATGGGGTGTTCAGCTCCCAGACCAGCTTCTCCCTCATTTCCCTCTTTTGGTCAACGTTACTGCCATGTGGCAGTAAAGCTTGAAACCTCAGGGTCATTTTTGACTTTACCTTTTTCCTTTAGTGTCAAACTCCTAATGGCTATGAATACCTTTTTCTAATGCTGCTTCTATGAAGTATCATATTCATCTCCTCCCCAAACCCTTCTTCCTAAGTACTTTTTTGTATCACCCTAATTTGTTAATTCATTGAAAAGTTACTTATTGAGCACCTAACTACTCAATAGGCACAGAGGATACAAAGCTCAAAAGATATGTCCTCTTCCTTTAAGAAAACATTCATTTTAGTGGAAAGAAACTGAGATAATTGATGTAATAAAGTTATTGATGCAGTACGGTGGAAGCTTGAGAGAAGAATCCATTAAAACTTGCCTGGGGCTGTCAAAGATCAGTGCACTGAGGAGATGTGGTATAAAGAGAAACTTGAAAGATGAACAGGAAGACCCACGATAGGGAAGAGATTTCCGAGAGAACAACCTGTGCCAGAGCAAGGGAGCCAGAGAGAACATGGCATATTTAAGGGACTGCAACTAGTTCCATACTGCTAGAACATAATGTCTTCAGAGAAGAGAGGCAGAAGACTCATAAAGCTCAACGACAGGCAGAAGCCATGGTCAGGTTTGCGTGTGAGAACTGTGGCAGCCTGATGAAGGGGTTAGGGGCGATCTGGGCCTCTGTCATGTTCATCGTTGTATCCCCAGCACTGTGCCTGGTACTTGGTAAATTATTGAAAACATGAAAGTGATAAGGGGTGGCATGGTGACATCAGTGGCATGTAGATGGTGAAGAGGTGAGCATAAGAAATAATGCGGACCTTATCAAAGTTTGTGGCAGTGAGGATGGCAGGCCAGGGACAGCTAATAGATATGTGGGCGATAGAGTATTTGATATGTGGAGATTTAATTGGAAGGATGGGGAAAAAGACAAATGGAATCTAGGATGACTCCAGGTTTTTGGTTTGAGTGTATGAATGACGTTTCCTTGTGTTAATAAAACGGGAAACAGGAAAGAGCAGGTTAGGGTTAAAGGAGAGTATGACAAATTATGGTAAGTATGCAAAATTGATGCAGCATTGAGGTGACAATGTTAGAAAGGTAATTAGAAGTAAGTTGGGAGAGTAGGTAAGATTAGCCAAGAGTGATGTGTAACCTAATGGGGAGAAAGGCTGAGGTCTAAAGACACAGTCTTAAACATCAGCATTTACAGACTGGGCAAAGGGAGATAGCCTGCAAAAGAAAAATACTGAGAAGATGAGTGGTCAGAGATTGGAGAGAACCAGGAGGAGACTGATGCCATCCAGTGAAGCCAAGCAGGGGGAGAGTTTCAAGTGGGGCATGATCACCAACCACGGCAGGCGGCTCTGATGTGACGAGTACCGAGCAGAGTTCCTGGACTTGGCAACAAGGAGGTCCCTGGGGACCTCTCAACAGAGAGTTCCGGGGTGGACTGGGAGCTGAAGACACAGAGGCAGGGTGCTTGACCGTGGACACTAGGATAGTAGCTAGATGGGGGAATGAGGTTGGGAGGTTTCTGGTTTTTTGTTAAAAAGATCTTAAAATGTTATAAATGATCGTGTTTATTATAGAAAATTTGAAGAACACAAAAAAAGTTTGAAGAAGGAAATGGAAATAACCCATAATCCTGCCACCCAGAAAAGGAAAAATTATTTTTGATGGAGGAGAATGACTTTAAAATATTTTAATTTAACATGAAAGCTGCTGGTCCTTATTGTTCCTAGACTAGAATTAGGACTTTGTAAAGTGGTCTTTGCATGTCAAATCTCTTCTTCAAACTCATTTTTTATCTCAGGGGTCAGAAAACGTTGAGAGGGTCAAATAGTAAATATTGTAGGCTATGTGGGCTACCTGTAGTCTCCCATCACATATTCTTTGTTTTTATTTTTTATGACCCTTTTAAAATGTAAAAAAAAATTTTAGCTTTCAGGCTGTACAAAAACAGGCCCACAGACCATCGTTTGTGAGCACCTTCTTCATAGCACCACCAGGTTAGCCTCTTAAAATACATCTCTAGTCATGTCACTCCTCTCTCTACTTTTTGGTAATTTGTTTTAGCCTGCCAAATAATATTAAAACATTTTAGCCTGAGATCTGGAACCTCTCCAAATTTGTCCTAAAATACTGTCTGAGCTGCATCTCACAATATTTTCTTACAGACTTTCTGTGCTTTTGCATTTTTATGCTTTGCTGTCTGTTTTTCTCTGCACTTTTCTACCCATATTTTAAGGCCAACATTTATGGTCTTTTAGAGTTAAAGCCTCCTCTTACCCAGAAGTGGTTTTTCCTCTCAGAACTCTGCAAGTAATCCGACCATATCCCTCTCTCTACTTCTACTTGTGTTGATTGCCTTCTGCTGGATACTTGTAACTTCTCTTTTAGGTTGTAAGGCAGAGAGTACTATCTATAGAGAGAGACATTATCTTTATTGCATATTGCACAGAACACAGCACCATGCCAAATAAATACTTGTTGAGTAGAATGTGATGGAAAATAAAAAGCGTGAGAAGAAAATGTGAGAAAAGTCTTATTTGGCCAGGTGTGGTGGCTCACTCCTGCAATCCCAGCACTTTGGGAGGCTGAGGCAGGAGAATTCCTGGAGGCCAGGAGTTCAGGACCAGCCTGGGCAACATAGCAAGACCATGTCTCAAATAAATAAATAATTTGTTTTTAATCTCTTATTTTATTTTATTTTGAGATGGAGTCTCGCTCCGTCGCCCAGGCTGGAGTGCAGTGGTGCGATCTTGGCTCACTGCAAGCTCCGCCTCCTAGGTTCACGCCATTCTCTTGCCTCAGCCTCCCAAGTAGCTGGGACTACAGGAGCCCACCACCATGCCCGGCTAATTCTTTTGTATTTTTTGTAGAGGGGATTTCACCATATTAGCCAGGATGGTCTCGATCTCCTGACCTCGTGATCCGCCCGCCTCAGCCTCCCAAAGTGCTGGGATTACAGGCATGAGCCACCACACCCAGCTGGAAAAAAAAAAAATCTTATTCATAACATATTCGTAACAAGTTTTCAACTTTACCATGATTGTGAGGCTAAAGTCCAAGGACATCATACAGCAAGGCTCTGTTGTGTTTTTTATCCTTAGGGATTTAAGAAAATCTGTGGACTTTCTTTGATGGAGATAATGGAATTTTTTTTAGTGAGTTACTTTCTGTATAGTAGATGATATTCAATATACAGACTAATCTCTGCTTTGCTTAAACGTATTTCTTTTTTTATAACAGTCTAAGGAAAAATTGATTAACAGCTTGAAGGAAGGCTCTGGTTTTGAAGGCCTAGATAGCAGCACTGCCAATAGCATGGAGCTGGAAGAACTTCGGCATGAGAAAGAGATGCAGAGGGAGGAAATACAGAAGCTGATGGGTCAGATACATCAGCTCAGATCCGAATTACAGGTAAGATTCATGGTGGTTCAGCTTAGCAGACACCATATACCCTCAGGTGTTAACAGTTTGAGACGTGATAGATTCTGTATTCTGGGGAAGCAGCATTACTAAAGCGATAGGTTTCTTTGTTTTTTGTTTGTTTGTTTGTTTTTGAGAGGGAATCTCACTCTGTCACCCAGGCTGGAGTGCAGGGGCACAATCTCGGCTCACTGCAAGCTCCGCCTCCCAGGTTCACGCCATTCTTCTGCCTCAGCCTCCCGAGTAGCTGGAACTACAGACGCCTGCCACCACACCCGGCTAATTTTTTGTATTTTTAGTAGAGATGGGGTTTCACCGTGTTAGCTAGGATGCTCCGTCTCCCACCCTGGAGTGGTGTGATTGTATCTCACTGCAGCCTCAAACTCGTGGGCTCAAGCAGTCTTCTCGCCTCAGGCTCCCGAGTAGCTGGAACCACAGGCACACACCATCACGCCCAGCTAATTTTTGTATTTTGTAGAGACAGGGTATCCCTATGTTGTACAAGCTGGTCCCAAACTCCTGGCCTCAAGTGATCCTCCCTCCTCAGCCTCCCAGAGTGCTGGGATTGCAGGGCTGTTGCAGCCCATGCTGGGCTAAAGCAGTAGGTCTCTTTCTTTCTTTTTCTTTCTTTCTTTCTTTCTGTCTGTCTGTCTGTCTTTCTTGTCTTTTCTTCTTTCTTTCTTGAGATGGAATCTTGCTCTGTTGCCCAGGCTGGAGTGCAGTGGCATGATCTCAGCTCACTGCAACCTCTATTCTAACTCCCAGGTTCCAGGGATTCTCCTGCCTCAGCCTCCTGAGTAGCTGGGATTACAGGCATGTGCCACCATACCCGGCTAATTTTTGTATTCTTAGTAGAGATGGGGTATCTACATGTTGGCAACCTGGTCTTTAACTCCTGACCTCAAGTGATCCGCCCACCTCGGCCTCCCAAAGTGCTGAGATTAGAGACGTGAGCCACCATGCCCGACCAGGTTTCTAGTCCATAAGTTGACCATAAAGTTATGGGGATAAAAAATAGATTCATTCATTCAACAAATAGTTACCAAGTGCCTGCCGTGTACCTAGGTTTGGAGTTAGAACAGAATCTTCGTAATTATAGAGCTTACATTCTAGTGATGAAAAGCAAATCAGATTTGAGCTTGTATGTGAAGCTGAGATGTTTTCTGATATTAGTATGGGCTCAGGGATTGTCTTCTAATTACAGTTTTATCCTTACTCTTATAATTTATAGTTTATGTATAATTACTGTATTTAATCTAAAAGTAAAGTTGGGCCATTTATTTTGCTTAAACTTGGGGGTGTTTAACATCAATATTGTAGGAAGGAGTCTCTGAAGGTGAGAGAAGATAAAGTGTAGCATAACGAGCTTCCTTTTCTGAAAAGAAAGGAACTTCTTGTAAAGACTGTTCATCCATGCATTACCTCTGCACATTGTGAGACTTGTGAACTACAAAAGAAAGCATGAAAGTTGTGAGAATAGGATGCCTTCTCTAGAGCATAGACTTGAATAGCAGACAGACCTGGATAGAGTCCGTCTTTGGTACTTAACAGATGCTGCTTGCACAAGGCACTTCATCTTGCAGAGCTTTAATTTTCTCATCTACAGAATGCAGTAAACCAAAGGTTCTCTTGACAATAAGGGATTATATATAAAGAGCCTAGCATTGTTTCTGACATGTAATAGACCCTCAGTTAAATAATAGCTGCTATTATTTCTGGGTTTATTGTTATTAAAGTAGGATTTTTTTTTTAAATCTGTGAATTTGAATTCCAAAGAATTCGGTCCTGCAAACTTAGAAATTGGGTAGATGCTAAACTTACTCTGTTCACCTCTTTTTGGTGAGATTATGAAAAATATTTGTTTTATTTAGTATCTCAGCATCATTAATGACATTGACCCATTTTCTTACCCTTCTCAAAATTTACGCAGTGTATAATAACTATTAGGTCTAACAAAATGGGAGAATTGTAAATAATTACAATAGCTGCTGCTTATTGAGCACGTATGTTCCAGATACTGCACAGAACTCTTAACATATATCCTTACATTTATTCCTTACCGTAACCTTTTGAGGGAGATAATGATATTCTCATTTTATAGTTGAAGAAATTTAGGCGTGGAGAAAGAAAGTAACTTGCCCCAAGACTAGTCAAGTGGCAGGGCCATGATTAGAACCTAGTCTAACTCCAGGACGTGTTTTTGGCCACTGTGCATAGTGCCTGCCTCTCAAGAGTTTGCCTGATGTAGTCAAATTGATGACAAAGATTAATCTGCCTTCTGCTAACCCTGAAAACTCAAAGGTAGGGAAAAATAGTTGTCATTATTGCTTTTTCCTCTAAATCTGCAAAGTTGTGTGAATTCAGAGGATTGCACTGTGATTATCTGGGCGTCTTGTTAGTTCTTTCAAACAGCATGTGAAGTTCCAAGGTTTATGGTGATGAATATGAAAAAGAATGTACCAAAAGATAAAAAAGCAAAAATAAGATGCTGATTTTCATCTCCTGTTGTGCCATATGAATGGACTCATGCTTAACCCATTTGGGGAAAATACAGAAACCTAGAGCCATGTTTTTGCTACTAGGAGATTTGACAGGAAATCCAGAAGGTGAGTTCAAAGAAATAAGAGTAAGAAACACGGGAACATGTAAAAACCAGTAATAGTAATAAAGAAATAAAGCTAGAAGAAGAAAATTATATGCCAACTTCTGGTGATATGCGAGACAAGTTATATTCTTATCATATGTTGATCACTGGGGCACAGATGCACACCAAAACTTATTACAACCTGCAATTTCAAGGGACTAATGCAGTGAAGTCCTTTGTGGTATTATGTTTCTGATTTTTTTTGAAACCGTTAGCTTTTGAGTAAAGATATAAGCCTCCCAGTGAGCCTCTGCTGATACTCATGAAACCACATGGCTTATGTGCTGCAGCAGCTGCAGCGCCCCATTCATTCTGCTAGCCGTTAGCCATAGTAGACAACGAAGGTGTCAGGTTATATGCTGCCTATAGGCTGAAACCATGTCTCACTGACCTTTATTCCTCAGTGCCTCCTGAGCCCAGCACATAGTAATTGCATGGTAGTCACGTTGTGTGGCTCACACCTGTAATCCCAGTGCTATGGGAGGATTGTTTGAGGCCAGGAGTTTGCAACCAGCCTGCGCAATAAAGCTATACCCCATCTCTAAAAAAAAAAAAAAAAAAAAATTAAGCCAGGCCTGGTGGCATGTGCCTATAGTCCCGCTACTCAGGAGGCTGATGTAGGAGGATCTCCTTGAGCCCAGGAGTTTGAGGCTGCCATGAACTATGATTGTGCCACTGCACTCCAGCCTGGGTGACCATGAGACTCCGATTCTTAAAAAAAAAAAGACAATTGCTCAATAAATGTTGAACTGAATGTTATTTATTGCTTTTACATGTAAGCTTTTTCTCTCTAGGATATGGAGGCACAGCAAGTTAATGAAGCAGAATCAGCAAGAGAACAGTTACAGGATCTGCACGACCAAATAGCTGGGCAGAAAGCATCTAAACAAGAACTAGAGACAGAACTGGAGCGACTGAAGCAGGTCAGGATTTGAGATTGATGACTACTGAGACTCTGTCCTCTAGCAGTCATATGAGGAGACCTCCCAGGAAAGCAGCTTACTGAAATTTTTAGAGTATGGGCTCAGGGTTACCCCACAAGTTCCTCCTGCCTTCCCATCCCATCTGAAGGGGTGGCCTGCCCCTCCACACCTGTGGGTATATCTCGTCAGGTGGGACAAGAGACTGAGAAAAGAAATAAGACACAGAGACAAAGTATAGAGAAAGAACAGTGGGCCCAGGAGACCAGTGCTCAGCATGCAGAGGACCTGCACCGGCACCAGTCTCTGAGTTCCCTCAGTATTTATTGATTACTATTTTCACTATTGCAGCAAGAGGAATGCAGTAGGAGAGCAGGGTGATAGTGGGGAGAAGGTCAGCAAGAAAACATGTGAAAAAAGGAATCTGTGTCACAAATAAGTTCAAGGGAGGGTACTATGCCTGGATGTGCATGTAGGCCAGATTTATGCTTCTCTCACCCAAACATCAGTGGAGTAATGACTAACAGAGCAGCATTGCTGCCAACATGTCTCACCTCCTGCCACAGGGCGGTTTTTCTCCTATCTCAGAATAGAACAGATGTACAATCGGGTTTTATACCGAGACATTCAGTTCCCAGGGGCAGGCAGGAGAAAGAGGCCTTCCTCTTATCTCAACTGCAAGAGGCTTTCCTCTTTTACCAATCATCCTCAGCACAGACCCTTCACGGGTGTCGGTCTGGGGGACGCTCAGGTCTTTCCCATCCCACAAGGCCATATCTCAGGCTATCACATGGGGAGAAACCTTGGCCAATACCCAGCTTTCCAGGGCAGAGGTCCCTGTGGCTTTCCGCAGTGCATCGTGCCCCTGATTTATCAAGAATGGAGAATGGCGATGACTTTTACCAAGCATACTGCCTATAAACATTTTGTTAACAAGGCACATCCTGCACAGCCCTAGATCCCTTAAACCTTGATGCCATACAACACATGTTTTTGTGAGCTCAAGGTTGGGGCAGAGTTACAGATTAGCTGCATCTCAGGGTAAAGCAATTGTTCAGGGTACAGGTCAAAATGGAGTTTCTTATGTCTTCCTTTTCTACATAGACACAGTAACAGTCTGATCTCTCTTTCTTTTCCCTACACCATCCTCCTTGATTTTTGTTTCTTAACAGATGAGAAATGGAGGCACAGAATGGTGATGGCACTTGCCTGGTACAACTAATTAAAGATGGAATAGAACCAAGGTTCCCTGTTTCTGAGCCCAGAATGCTTTCTGTTACCCTGTCTGTATTTTGTTATATCTCCTAGTATAGAAAACTTCAAAACATATTATATTCATCAGTTGGTTTTCATAGTTTATTGCATTTGTGCTTTCTAGGAACAATAGTAAATATTATTTAATAAAAATACAGATACAATGTTAGTACCATATTAACTGTTCTTTCTGCTTGAGAAAAAAGTCTTATACAGACTCTTCTAACAAATCATGTTTAAAATTATATTTCATTGTTCAGGTAGCAGTTGTATGCTCCCAAGCCAAATTATTTTACTTTAATGTACTCATATAATAGTTTCAATATTAACACAGTTTAACATAGTCACATTTTCAGAATAAAGTTCTATATCTAATGTTAATAGCATCACTAATTTAGTAAGTGACAACATTGTTATAGGCATTTAGTACATATTATCTTATTTCCTACTCACAAGTAAATCACTACTCTTCTCTTTATTTTACAGACAAGAAAACTATTCTTATAATTCTCAGTGCTTTACTGTTAATGTTTCCATCTTTCTGTATTTAAATTCTTTAAAGACATTTTTCATTAGGATTTATTACTTCTGAAACTAGTTCTCTTCTCAGAGAAATGTTTTTTATTATGAAAGTTGTACTTCAGATTTGTTTCCTGAGTACTCAGTGAAAAACTCACCAAGTAACAACCTGCAGGGTATGTCATAGGTAGTTTTAGATAATTTAGTTATGACATCAGCTGTCCTTTCAGAAATTGCATTTTAATTTATTCAAGGGACTATTATATATTAAAAGGCAACAATTTAATGTTCTTGATGCTTAATGAGATAATTTTCATTTTATTGTGGTAGATGGTTTTTACTGTACCTCTTCCCAGTGCCTTTTTAAAATGAGGGAGTTAAGTGGAAGAAAATGGAGCTTAATGTAGCTATGGGCTACTTATTTAGTAATCAGATGTTCCAGATGGAAAGTGTTTAATCTTGCAATTGAAGAGTCCTTTAGTGCTTCTTATTAATTTAAGTAATATCAACCTTAAGTTTCGTACTTGCCTAGAACTTAAAAGAAAGCAGACAAACCTTGTAAAGTGTGATTCTCCTACCCTAGTTACCTTTCTCATAATCTCTTTTCTCACCTCTCTTGATTTGTTTCCATTTGTGAGATGAACAACTTGAGCTAAATGTTTAATGGAGTCTCTAGCAGTGTGCTGCCATATCACCTTTACTTGTTCAGACAGCTCCCGAACTGCTGCTTTACTCTTCACTGTCTTCACAGTTAAGCGGTTAAGCATAAAGCTTTTGAAAGTACTTAGTAACTCTAGTTACTCCTTCTTCTCTGTTCTACATTGTATTTCAGTGATTTGGACACATTTTTGGATTGGCATGCACTTTACTGTTAGATTCTGAGCTGACTCTGAGTGATCCATTCTACAAACAAACAGTGCATTAGTGCAGTTGTTAATAAGTTTGGAGGTATTAGCCTTTTTGGGGATGATCCTTCTGTCTGTAATATGAATTGCAAATAATTTTTCCCAGCTTGTCATTTGTGTTTTAGTTTGCATAGGGTTTTTATTTTGTTGTCATGCATAAGTTGATTTTTTTTTTTTTTGAGACAGAGTGTCGCTCTGTCACCCAGGCCGGAGTGCACTGGCGCGATCTCAGCTCACTGCAACCTGCGCCTCCTGAGTTCAAGCAATTCTCCTGCCTCAGCCTCCTGAGTAGCAGGGATTACAGACGTTCACCACTATGCCTGGCTAATTTTTGTATTTTTAGTAGAGACGGGGTTTCACCATGTTGGCCAAGGGCTGGTCTTGAACTCCTGACCTCAAGTGATCCACCTGCCTCAGCCTCCCAAAGTGCTGGGATTACAGGTGTGAGCCACCACACCTGGCCAGAAGTTGATTTTTGTGTAGTCAACTTTATCATTCTTTTCTACCAAGGCTTCTGGATTTTCAGTCACAGTGTTCCTCTTTCTGAAATTATGAAGAAATTTGCCCCTGTAGTTTTCTTCTAGTACTTTTTTGGTTTCATTTTTGCATATAAATCTTTGATTTATTAGGAATTTACTCTGATGTGTGAGGTGAGCTACAGATCCAACCTAATTTTCTTCCATATGGCTGTTTTCCTAGTATCATTTTTTAAAATATTTATTGATTTGAGATGTCACCTTTATCATGTCCTAAAATTCTCAAGGTATCTAGATCTGCTTCTGGACTTTTATTCTCTCCCATTAGTCAGTTTGTCTGTTTATGCATCAGTACCACATTGCTTTTAATTTTTGAGATTTTATATGTTTTAATGTCTTTATGACCTGTTCTCCTTTTCAGAGATTCTGGCTTTTCTTTTTCCTTTTTTTTTTTTTTTTTTTTTAAAGCCAGGATCTCACTCTGTCACCCAGGCTGGAGTGCAGTGGTGCAGTCACAGCTCACTGCAGCCTCAACCTCCTCAGGCTCAGGTAATCCTCCCACTTCAGCCTCCTGAGTAGCTGGGATTACAGGCACGCACCACCAAGCCCAGCTAATTTTTTTATACTCTGTAGAGATGAGGTCTCACTATGTTGCTCAGGCTGGTCTTGAACTCCTGGGCTCAAGCAATTCACCCACTTCAGCTTCCCCAAGTGCTAGAATTACAGGTGTGAGCTCCCATGCCCAGCCTGGCTTTTCCTTCTTACAGTTTTCCATGTGAATTCTGGAATAACTTTACGTAGTTAAAAAAAAATAATAATAACAGCTTTTGTTTTTGTAGAGATGATGTCAAACTTATGAATTAATTAGAGGAGAATTGACATCTTTATGATGTTGTGTTCCTAAGAATATGGTACGACTTTTTATATGTTCTGGTATTTTTTGTACCCTTTAAAAATGTTTTAAAGTATTCTTTATATGTGTTTTACACATCTGTTGTTAAATTTATTTTTGTTACTATTATTTATTGGGGCCTTTTTCTCATATCTTCTAACTGCTTTATATAAAACTATTGATTTTTATATATTATTTTATATTCTGCCACCTTACTGAATTATTGTTTTTCTTTGTATCACATACTTTCCCTATTTTTAAAATGTTCCTGGTTTGTGTTTTTAATCAATTTTATGAACAGTATGTTGATCTTTATCATGCATTTTATGAATAGTTTTCCAGTTTGTGACTGTCATATTAATGCTATATACCTGAGATTCTTGAAGAGATTATCCATTCTTCCTCATTACTACAAGATAAACATTTTTTTGTTTTCTGATTATTTACACTGTTAATAATTATTTATTACAAGCCTTTGTTTACAATACATACTGAAGTGCTAACTTTTCATCAGACCTATCCAAGTCTGTTATTCACTCAGTTACATACTCATTGTATAATACACTCAGTTACACAC